CCCCTTCCCGCCCCCGTTATCCCCCTGACACCGATCGTCGCCCGGAAAGCACCATGCCGTGGTTGGTGCGGCGACCGGCCGGGCCCCGGCCACCGTCACCCGCGCGGCCGGTGCTCGCCCTGGCGCTGGCACTGACGCTGCTGCTGCTGCTGTTGCCGGCACATGGCAGCGCGCCGGCCGGTCTCTTTCTCCTGGAAGCGCCGCGCCTGCTGGGGAAGTCCCCCTCCGGCGGGCAGGCGCTCCTGCTGCCAGGCGAGCCGATGGTCCACCATTCCGCGCCCGGGGACCAGGTCAACATCTTTAAGCAGGGCATCAACCTTGATCTCTTCTCGGACGCGCGTCTGGGGTCGGTCTTCTTCCCGGATCCCGACCTCATCCTGCGCTTTGCCGGGGTTCCGGACAGCCTGACCAGCGAGCCGATGCTGGTCCCCATGCCGGGCGAGCTGCCGAGCCTGGTCTGGCTGTCTGGAAGCCGGGTGGGTGTCTCGACCGAGGACCTGGTGCACACCTTCGACCTGCCGGCCGGCGGCCCGGCGCGCCTGCTGGCGGCCGTGTCCCGCTCTGCCAGCGACACGTCAATCCTCCTGGGCCTGGGCACCGGTAAAACCCTTGTCCTGCGCTGTTACGCGTCCGCCTGGTCGCTCATTGAGATCCCCACCGGCGCCAATGGCGGCACGGCCGGCCTGCCGGGGCACCTGTACGTGGCCGCCTCCATGTCCGGGTGGGTGTGGGCACCGGAGGGCGGCCCGATGAGGGGCTTCCCGGTCGACGACGAGCCGGTCCTCCGGGTGGCCGCCACGCGCTTCATCACCGACGACCCGGATTCCCTGGACCTGGTCATCGTGACGGACCAGCGCCTGCGGGTTTTGGTCGGCCTAAAGGACAACCACCAGCCCGCCCGCGTGCTGGATGCCCCGCTGTCGGCCGAGCAGAGGGACCTCTCCACCGAGCTGGTGCCCGAGCTGGCGCCCGGTGCCTCGCCATCGGGCTTCCTCTATCTCCTCAGCAATGGGACCACCCTGTGGCGGGTGTCGGCCCTGCCGGACAATGCGCTGGCCTGGCAGCGGGTCAGCACCCCGTCGGGCTTCTTCGCCGCCCCCAGCCGGGTCAGCCTCATGAGCATGGACCTGGGCGCCGCCCCGGCCGGGCCGGCCGAGCGCTGGGTCTTGGTCCGGGATGGCAGGGCCTTCTTCACCAACGAGCAGTTCGGCTGCGGGGTGGACGCGTCGATTGTGTGCGATGCCGCTGCCCATGCGTGGCGCTGTGCGCCCGGCAGGCGCCTTTCCCCGCTCCGGGCGGCCGGCGAGCTGTGCGCCGGCTGCTCGGACGGCTTCTACCCGGTGCCGGTGGGCGCCGAGCGGCGTGCGTGTCCAGGCCCTCGGGCCTCCTTGTGCTGGCCTGCTCCCCCTGGCCCTGCCAAGATGCCTGTCGCGCTCCATATGCTTCCTTTCTGTCACCGGCGCCTATTTTCCCTGTTCTCTCCCTCCCGCCCCCCCTCTCTCCGCCTGTTGTGCCTGCGCTGATCGTCTTGCCTGTGGTGGTTGTCTTGCCTGCGCTGATCGTCTTGCCTGTGGTGGTTGTCTTGCCTGTGGTGATTGTCTTGCCTGTGGTGATTGTCTTGCCTGTGGTGATTGTCTTGACTGTGGTGATTGTCTTGCCTGTGGTGATTGTCTTGCCTGTGGTGATTGTCTTGCCTGTGGTGATTGTCTTACCTGTCCTGATCGTCTTACCTGTTCTGATCGTCTTACCTGCACCGATCGTCTTACCTGTTCTGATTGTCTTACCTGCACTGATTGTCTTACCTGCACC